GAGAGAGAGAGAGAGAGAGAGAGAGAGAGAGAGAGAGAGAGAGAGAGAGAGAGAGAAAGGACTTGATCGATGTTTCGTAAATATACAGTTTGCGTGCGAATTTGGAATTCTATTTCGGTAATTCGAACCTAATCTGGCTTTTAATGTTTGACAACTGTATGATGTTTTAGCTGTTCAAGCGATGATAACTATTAACACTCATGTTTGCGTTGGAAATTTCATGCGAGATGTATATTTTTGCGATAGGTAGATGTATATTCTTACTCGTCTTGCTCAAATGTGCTTATCATTAACAGTGAGCGAGATAATTAAATATAGTCAAGTGGTTTGAATTTAAAGGAAAAAAACATCTAACATTGAAAATAAAGTATATCAAATGGAGAATAAAATACAAATATAATTATATAATTTTTATCATGGAAGGGAAAAAAGTTATAACAAATGTTCAATTTTTTTCAATGGAATTTTTGACATTGCATTTATTAATCATTTTAATTTTTACACTTTTAAGAATATCTAATATATCAGTTGTATTTTTAATGTACTTTTAATCGACAATTAATGTTTCTGGTATAACTAAACGAATCTGGTATAGCTAACCAGCTGCAGCGTTTGGCCAACGTGAAGGTGTGAACAGGATTGCGCAAGAATATTGCGAAAATTCTTAATATGGAAATGCCTCCGCCGGAATTTAATTCTGTAATTAAGGAAAATACACGAGCAAAGCTAGTGACAGCTCGGTCAAGCGACATTGCGAATAAGAATGAAGTACCCTAAATGTAAGAAACGTATGTACTCTGATCGTATGTGATCATCACGCCCTTGTCTGCATGGATTGCTATTCTGACAGAAGTCACAAGTATATCATACTTATTTCTTTTTTTTTTATCAAAAAATTTATTGTTTAATAAAGATAATAAATATTTTTTACAGAATTTTCACATTATACACATTTCTATTTCCCTCAAAAATTATCCATTTTCAACACTGGATGAAAAATAGATCGTTAAAAAATTTGAAAAGAAACCGAAAGATTTGTATTCAATCTTTCCTCTTCAAAATGCAATATGAATTTTTTAATTTTGATAATTACAAAAAAATGGCGACCATTAAAAAACATGTCATTTTTTTTCAACGCAGAGTGTATTTCAATTTAACTATGGATTGGGACAACTTATGCTGTGGATTTTTAATTAAAATAAAGTTTTTCGACATTTACATAACTGAGACGAAATTATTCCTTTTTTCTTTAAATCGAAAAAAAATATCACTTTAGTATTGTAAACGGCTTTATTGTAAACGGAATTATAAACCGCCAAAGCTGCGTGCAAATTTACACCTGTATGCTACATAAAAGTCGCGAAAGGTGCGAGCGAAGTGTTAATACATTCTTCATCGGCACTTAATAAAATTTCTAACATAACTAATTGTAAGTAATTGCTTCTTCCAAGGATTACCGTTAACAACAATCACCGAGTGATTGTTTCGTCTAAGATTCATCAATTAATTGTATATAGGTAGGGCACTCGTCTCCACCACCACCAGCGCCGAATTCGGGCCCTGGTTCAGGAGATCCAACATCTCCTAGATCCATTCAGAAGGAGAACTCGCCACTTCGTGGTCCTCGAACCCTCCTGCTTCGACGTAGCGAGAATGGATATGGATTTACGCTGCGACATTTCATCGTCTATCCGCCCGAGTCCTGTTATGTGAGTGTCATCGATCGAAGAAGCAAGTAATGCGGGTTCTTGAAATCGAGTGAGAATGAAAGGGAATCCCTCACTCATTGCAGATGCTGCCGGGACACGAGCGGACCAAGGTTGACGAGCCTATGGACACAATCTTCGTGAAACAGGTGCGAGCAAATTCACCAGCGGCCGAGGCCGGATTGCGCACTGGTGACCGCGTCGTCTCCGTCGACGGAACGCCTACTCGAGGCGAGCAGTACGCCAGCGTGGTACAACGCATTCAACAAGCGGGACCGTGGCTGCGCCTCCTCGTGGTCTCCAAAGAGGACGATATTTTGCAACGAGTACGTGAGATTTTTTTTGCATTCGCATGAGTAGCAACCTTTCGCAAAATACCACTTATTTTTTACTTTATTTCCGACACTCATATTTTATTAAGTACGCGATGCCGCCGTATTGATTTATTAATTTTTCTTACTTTCCAACGCGATTTATAATATTTTTGCGATAATATTTTCTCTGCGCTTATGTTTTTATACGATTATACGGGAACAGCGATTTTGCTAAAAATTTATCTAAAGGTTTAGGTAAGTACAGATCTAAAACTAACTTTGGAAATCAAATTAATTATATAAAAAACTCAAACATAATGAGAGGAATGTTTTGACTTTCTAGCAATCAATTTGTGCATCCTATATAATTATTTTGATGGTTCAACAGAATTATTTTCAGATGAATATTTTTATCTAACTTTTTAAATACTTCAACAAAATTCTTTCCTTGTACAATAGAATAAACAATTATAATACGAATAAGAGATATTTTTCTAAATTTTCTAGTACTTTGGCGATACGGCGCATAATCCCGAGACGAATCAACGACCGCGGTTACGTTCTCCGGAAAGACTGTCGCAGAAACAACGTAGATCAATGAGCAATATGATCCCGGGCGGATCGCCGAGAACACGACAGTCTTGGGTTTGTACTCTACCATCGTCCGAGAGTCCAAATCATCTCGAGGAAGCAATGTGCAGGATACCGTCATCAACGATATCTCAAGTTCCGATTGAATCTCAGATCGCGAGCGCATTGCAGCAGCGAAGAGGTATATCAGAAGCAAGCGCGTTATACGATCTTTCGGAGGATTCTCGAGTTTCTGGAAGGAAGCTGCAATTGCTGCACGAGGATAACATGCAACCGAGCGGCCGATTGTCCTTGGATTCCAAGTATGATCTGTACGACAGAACGCGACCCGAGTCAGTATACTCGCGGCCAAGCAACGAACAACTCTATGACAGAATCAACGATCCGATTTACGAGCGTGTGCGTGTCAGCGAGCAGCATTATTACCAGCCGTCTTTGCTACGTTATCCGGTATCGCAGGCAGAGCCGCAGGTACCGATCTACCGGCCGATTAAGCGAATGGTAACGCGACGGGCCAGCGAAGGCAGCGGTAACACTCTCGATTCCGAGACGGCGAGTTATGGCAGCATCGACGCGTTGAGATCAAGCGAATCCAGTAGATTGAGCATCGAATCGAGACGAGACTCATCGCCGGCCGCTAGCAAGGAAAGTATGTCTCCCTACGATTCCAATTCGACTCTGACTGGCAACGAGTGTTCCGATGATTCCGTCATCATGAACAGACTTCGTAAGAGCTTCGAGCAGAAGGCAGAATTTCTGCGGCGACCGAGTCATCCCATTGGTTGGTCTCTCGACTCGGCGACGTCGCTACTGCCAAATTTCAATCAAGCATCAGTGATTCAGAGGGAATTCTACGCGAGGCCACAAAAGCTGCAGAGACAGATTTGGCCGCCCGGACAGAATGAGCAACAGCAGAGACAGCAATCCCCTACGAGAAGATCTCAAGAGAGAAACGTCGTTACCAAGACTATCACAAGTCTAGTGAACAAACCGTCGAATCAGAGTGTGCAGAGGATAAAGGATGTGGACTCTAACTCTGAGTATTCAAAATCGCGGAATGATCAGCAATTTGAGAACAATCAAGTTAATGCTGGAGATCACTGTTACTCGTCATCACTTCTCTATGACAATGAGCTCGCAAAAGAACAACAATACCGAAGCGCAAACAAAGGTAGTTTCGTAAGCATACTGTCAAGAATACACGAGAATATTAGTACGAATCAGCAACAGACGTCGCAAGAGACGCGAAACGGTTCCTCATCGCTACCATCTTCCCCGGGACCGGATAAGAAAGTCAACACTGACGTCAGGTTTCCGGTACCGCCGCAGGGCCTACAGATCGTCTCGAGACGCGCCAAACAGTTTGAGTCCGGTCGTTTGCTGAGCGACGAGGACGAACCCACGGGCGATCGAACGAATCTCTATAAGAGTGAGTTATCCAGATTGTCGAACAAGAGAAGTGTACCGAATGTGGCTGTGCGAAAACGAGAGTTCGAATCTAAAGCCGAAAATCAGGACTCGAGAAGGCTCCCGACCAGGGAAACAAAGTCTCTTGACACTGGTAAGCATCAATGTAATCTTTTCCATTATTGAGTTGATGCAAACTGATTGTCGTTACATTTATCAAATAAAGTTGATATTAGAACAAAATTGAAGCAAAATTATCTCGCTACTATTTTTAATGTATTTATTTTTTCATTTGAGGAGATACTTTTCAATCCACAATAAATAAAAACTCCGATTATTAACTTATTTGTCGCGGAACGTGAAAAAGCGACAAATCTTTTGCACCTAGTCTAATAATTCATTGTAGATTCTTATCGATCTTTGATAGTAATTGCTATGAATCTCACAATTAGGATTAAATCAAACTAGTAATACTCAGATCAATGCTCAGTAAACAAGTATCATCGTTTAGGTGCAGTATTGACAGGCAACAGAATAATTCCTATAGGCAGCAAACATATCCATTGCAAGCCACCAACGGACTATAAAGAGAGTAAAGGTAGATAAAATTAAGAAGCTGTGTCGAATACTGTTTGCATTGTCGTCTTGTGCTACTCTTGTGTTGTCAGTGATTCGTTTGCATTCAGTGTGAATGCGATCGCGATGTGGCGTTAGTAATAACTCATACTATATTGTGATCATATTATAATCATCAATATGGTAAATGATATAATAATGCAATTTACCCGCTTCTCACGCTCTAACTAAAATAAAAGTAGATATTTTTATTCTTACTTTAGTGCGATAGATAAAATTTTAATAATTTTCGCAATTTTAATAATTCATCGTTTAGAACCGCGTGTCTGATAGAGACGCGCGCGATTTGTCCGAGATTGTTTTCAAGCGGAAGTAACCGGATAAAGCCATGGAATTTGTCGATATAACATTATACACAAAGGAGACATTAACTGCCCCCTTGCAACGTTTTTGTTGTCGTGCTTCTTACGATATGTCGGTTATTCAAAATAGCAACGACGTATCCGCTGGCGCTTTTACATAGTGACAACAACAGCACACACGCTATATATATATATACTCCACTTCCGTTGGTTATTAACAAAGCGATAAATGTTGATCGCAATCGTTTATATTAAAAATATAATAATACTCCATAATGCCCTATAATAATCTCGTCGTTGTTTAATCGAGTAGATGTGCCTACTATGGAGACAGAATCAGTGCGTTTGAGAGCACGCAGCAACAGCGCGGAGTCTTGGGAAGCTTCGAATGGTCCAACGATACGAAGCAACGCCAGGCATACGTGGCAGACCGCCGAGGAGAAAGGTAGCATCGAGGACAACAGTAAAGTCTACCGCAACCAGGACAATTACTTGCAGTCGGCCAAACTGCAAATCGGTTAGTCCCTTCGGCCGCTACCACTTGTCTTTACAGATATATATCGTACACTCACACATGTCCGTGTTATATAAAGGTCGAGCACAAAGCGTTAATAATCGTCCCATTGATTTCTCTTTCAGCGCCAGTCAATGGTTCTTCGCCCAACGGCTCGACCAATAATGCCGCGGTACTTAGGCGACAGAAGAATGCACAGATCAGTGAGTTTAAACGATGAAGATATTTTTAACATTACGTGCAATTATTGCGACGCATGCGTTAAGCGCGACGAGAACGCGTTTTATCGAAATTATAATCGCGCTCGCGCTTATACCAGAAACTTCTCTCTCACACGTAATAAATCAGTTATTTAAAGCAGATGCCACTTGACAATATTGTTATAATTCAGCTTGATATCCGTGCAGAAAAAAGTGATTGTTTTTAAATATGTATTGAATTATAATTATACAATTATAATTTTAAGTGGCGTCTTCTTTAAACAATTGACAATGATTTATTTATTGATCAAATCATTTAAAACCTTTATCAATGAGTGCCACCTGTATAGCTATAAATCTAAATGTTAAAATAAAAATAAAATAAAATAATAATTAGTTTCAAAAATAAATCCAATAAAATGCTTATATTATATACTTTTGCGGTTGCTAGTGCGTAAATTATACATTCACAAGTAATAAAATACAATTTGCAAGCAATTAGCATGTATCAAACGAAGTTAAAAGTAAAATATAAATTTATGCAGACGTTTCGATTCTAAATTTGAATCCTAACTTTTTATTAGATGGGAAAAAGTTCGTAACGTTTTTTTAATGCTATCTAACGGGAAAAATGTCACGAACTTTTTCTCATGCCTAATATTCTTTCTCTCTAAATACATTTTACTTTCAACTTTGTTTGGTAAGTACATTTTAATTGTTTTGTCAAGTTTTATCGCTATAAATATATAATTTACACACTGACAATTATGGAGATTTACATAGATATTTTATTTGTGTTTCAACATTTCAAAACGTAATTAATTAAAGTAATTAAAAGAAAGAAAATTACAATTTCATGAAACAAAAAGAAAATGATATTAAAATCGATATAATCGGTAATTTAATAGGTGACGAGGATCGTGCTACCAGACGGGTGTCATATCTGAAAGCGACGTGGGGCGAACGAATGCATGTCGATAGTGATTTGGAGCTCAGCGATTCTGAACCCGTTCACATTCACAGAAGGTAAATGATCTTTTATAATTCGTGCTGATTTCAAGTTACTGATCTGTGTTTTCTCAAACGCACAAAGATATTGTCGATAATACATTTCTCCTCCCATGCTTCTCATAAGTTTTGCTCGCACAAGATGCAATAAAATGAGCAACGTTGGCAATTTCGTTATCACCTCAAAGGTGTTAACTGTAAGTATGTCTCGAAGCTGTGCACTTGTTCGTGTCCATGTTTCCAGTGCGCATAGACGATGGCGACCGCCGTTATTTCCGAGCGACATAACGCCCCTGCGACGCATCTTTGAGGATATGACGCAGGCCGCGTCCTTACATCGAAACTCTCATCATCGGTGAGGGCGAAAGATTCCGTTTGCGAAGCACGGAAAAAAAAAAATTGTATTATTTATGCTCCGCGTCTCCTCCTCTAAGCTAATGTACATTTACCTTCGCTCTCTCACTCTCGATCCACTCGTCGTTTCTATATATATATATACGTTTGCGCTATTTACCTGCTTGTAAATGGTGACGAGTGACGAATAATCGCGTAGCAATACCGATAAAGCATGAGAGTTGTATCATATTTTGTGTATCATTTTTTAGCAACATTTCGAAAAAAAGACACGGCCGTTTATTGTACTGTTTTTTATATCACAAAGTTAAGAAATCTAGAAACTATTAAAAAGATTATTTACATAATAAAAAATAGAATAAAATAAAAAATGGGAAGTTTCTTGAAAGAAATGAAAAATTTCATCTACTATGTTACCAACAAATTTAAATGAAAAAAAAAAAAAACAATTTTAAAAAATAATGTTTACAAAAAAATAAATTCAAGTCAGATGAAATGAGAATAAAAAATTAAATAGCTCAAAATCAAAAATAAAATAAAGAGGAAAGCATAATGAATCAAAAGAACTGATAATTTCTCAATAGAGATACATACCGAATATATCACGGCCTCGCAATTCGTACTCGTTAATTGCTCGAGCGTTAGATAAGATATCCTTTCTTGTTTATTATTCCTACTGTGATAAGGAACATAGATGCATAAAATGCGACACATTTCTGTTCGTGGGTCTGATATTAAAATCATAAGTTGTGTTCGTTCTAGATTTCCTGACACTATAGATGGATATGTCCTTTCAGATATTGATTTGGCTGATTGTTACTAACGGAATGAACATTAATAAGCTAAAGATCGATGTGACCACTGTTTTCAGTATCGTTTTCAATTTAGAAAAAGATGAGAGTATAGAAAGATATGTAGTTGTGTAATTTTATCATAATATTATGGTAAAATTTCTCCTATTATTTTTGAAATCGAAGATGGACAACTGTATCATTCTACAGTTAAACAGAAAGTAACAATATACACATTTACAAACAACGGTTTTATTTCTTTTCCAGTAATAGCATTACTGTGGCGCATAGTACCTCAAACAGCTGCGACGAAACTGTAAAGGATGTTGAACCAGTGGAACGAGAGGGAACACTTCATGTTAAATTCACAGTGCTCGATGGCAAAGTGAGATTACAAGTTCAACAAATGAATTTTATTTAAATGCGTTAGAATGCATTGACTATATTTATTTTTTAACTATATTTAATAATTTTAGCGATCTACTGATCGTTCCTGGAAGCAAGTTTGGGGTGTTCTTCGTGGTCCTATAATATATTTCTATAAGGATCGTCATAGTCAGGTGAATAACATTTAAACATTATTGTTTACATATCGATCAGTGATCATCCAATAAAAAAAAAAAAGCATAATATTTTACGCTTCGTTATAGAGTCCTTCGTTGAGCACCGACAGCGAAACAAATGCGGGACAAAGTGTCGACGTTAGATGTTCTGTAGTTGACGTCGCTGAAGACTATACGAAACGGAAACACGTGTTGCGAGTGGCAAATCCTACGGCAGAGGTGCTTTTACAAACCGAGGATGCAGCATCCATGGCCCTTTGGTTAAGATCACTTCATTCTCACGCTGCTGCAGAAAAATCATCGGTGAGTATTAATTATAGGATATTGTTTTTCAAAATCATTTAAATTATACACAATAAAAAAAGAATAAATGAAGATACGTAGCCATTATTAAAAGTCTTCTGCTATTTTTATTTGAACAACTCCGAAGTATCCAAGGCTCCTTGTTGCATAAAAACATATTCATTTACAGGACGCTGTATCTTGCACGTCGAAGCAGCAAGCCGTTCCGCAAACTCCCACTCCCACAACTCCGAATAGCGGCATTCCTCCGAGTAACATCCAAAGATTGAGTCCTCTGCCGAGCCACAAAGGCATCAAGAAACTAACATCATTTAGGAATCGATCGCCGACGGGTCAATCGCCGGTGAATAAGACGCGCAAGCCAAGTAATCAGATAGTGGAACCTTTACCATCGCCTAAGTCGAAAACTTGGAAGGGAAGAATGGCGAAACAATTCAGGAGAATGCACGGTCAAGCTGGTGGCGCGCCATCCTCACCTACGGCGCAATTACCACCAGAAGGGGCCACCTTCAAAGTACCTCTCGAACTCTGTCCGCCATCCTCGTTCTCCGAGTACGTGCCGCTAATTGTCGAGATGTGCACGAGCATTGTCGAGGCGAGAGGACTTGAGGTTGTGGGCATCTACAGAGTGCCAGGAAATACTGCTGCGATTGCTCAACTTACGGACAGTGTCAACAGAGGTTTCGAGAACATTAATCTTCAGGTATTCTATCTGACAATGCTTCCGCGAGGTAGGCGTGAATATTTTTCCTGAAATTTTTTGAGATTTGACTTAATTTCTTCCACAGGATCCGAGGTGGAGCGACGTTAATGTAATATCGTCTTTACTGAAGTCATTTTTCCGACAACTTCCCGATTCCTTGCTCACAGCAGAATTGTATCCCATGTTCATCGATGCCGATAAGATAGAAGATCCACAGAGGAGAATGACCACGATACGAAAATTATTACGAGATCTTCCAGAACCTCACTTTGAGACGCTGAAATTTTTAATGCAGCATTTAAAGAAGATAGTAGAGCATAGCGAGATCAACAAAATGGAAGCGAAGAATTTGGCCATTGTTTTCGGACCAACATTAGTGCGAGCGAGTGGTTCAAGAGACAATATGGTTACTATGGTCACCGATATGTCGCATCAATGTAGAATAGTCGAGAGTCTACTGAATAATGTAAGTCTTCATTAAATAAAAAAAACGCCGTTTTCTTAAGTGTTAGTATATAATATCGACGTGTTTCGATTTAATGTATTTCAGGTCGATTGGTTCTTTTTGGAGGATGATCTGGACGATTTAAGCAGATTGAGCGTAAATTTAAGTCTTCCAACCGATAATTGTGAAGTTGAACCAGTATCCAATCATAGTCTTCTATTAAACAACATTCAGAAAATCGAAGGTCATTATTTTTTTTACGTGTTACATCATATCTACTTTCTTACGTATTATTTTATATTCAGTCATTTTTCTTATCTTCGATATATTTATCTTAAATATAAATTTTGTGTTTCTTATTTCTTTTTTATTTTATTACTAACACTGTTAGCACTTTTAAAAAATAATAGTTAGAGCATGCTATACATTTTATCTATAAAAGCAATGTATTTATCTTTTTTTTTATTAATCAAACAGGCATGCGCGATATGGCATCCGCTAGAGACATCGTATCTTCAATTATATCCGCAGCTAATAAAAAGATACAAAGAAGACGAAAGAATCAGGATGAAATCGACAACAGTGAACATGATAAGGTTGGTATTAATCATTTATGATTATAATTATGATTATAATATAATATTATATTATAGTAAATAATATATTACATTATATTTATTATATTATGTTATAATTATAACTTTTTTGTCTATATATATACATCTCTCTCTCGACATATTAATTTAATATTTAATAAATTAGACCAAGTCGAAGCAAGAATCGGAAAATTTGCCGACGATTCGACAGAGTATGGCCTTAAATGAGCGACAGTGTTCCGTCAGCGAAATCGTGCAGATGCACGAAAGCAAGAATCAATCGAATCATTCTACGGATCGTTCTCTGTCGGTTGACGCGAACAGTGATTTGTCACACAAAACGTCTTCATTGAATCGTGCCAAATACGCGATTCAATCCGCACCTCCGTCTGTAGATTCTACGAGATTGTCGATTGATACTGGTCTAAGTTCAGCAGAAACGAGCTCCACCGTGTCCAGCAACGCGTCTAACCAGACGAAGCAAAGTAATGACGAAGTAACGATTTTAACGTACGCCGGTTTAAGCGCGACCACTCAGGAGAGAGTACGACGATTCGAGGAGGAAACGAAAGCGATGCTGCAGAGAGATCAGCATCGACAGAAGCTCGAAGCTGAGAAAAGGGAGGAAGAGAAACGAAGAATTGAGATAGAGTGGCAATTGGCGAAACGAGAGATGGAAAATGACGATCTGCTCGATAATATAGTCGACACTACGGTGTCGCCAAGTCTGTTATCGGAACGTCTCTCCGGTCTAAACGAAAGGCTTGCCGATAAATCATTAATAGATCTGCCCGAAAAATATGGCAGGTCACGATCTATAACGAGACCACCGCTATCTATAGCCGTGCAACAACATCCCACGATACATAAAAAAACCCAAGCTAGCAATCAACTAACTAGCATATTAGGGGAAAAGATGAACAACGGCGTCATTAAGAAATTTAAGACAGATAAAGATGTAAGTTAATTACGATTTTTGTTTGAACGATCATGGCATAGTAAAGGTGTGAGTTTATTATTTGTTTTTTATGTCAATTGTTTTTTATACTGTGATTATATCAAAATCAACACAAATAAACTTTCAAGAAATAGAAATTGACTTGCGCCACTTGACAAAAGATCTGTTTGCTTGCACTTTTGCACTTGGAATTTGCTTTCTCTCGTTTTAAGTGCAAAAATATTTGATTTCAAGCAATGCGAATAAAATCTATTGATGTGTTTTATTTTCGACTGATAGAGCTTACTTACTTATACGAATTTGTTGGTGTTACAGCCATCGTTGGAGCCGTCGATTTGTTTACCACCAGTTCGATACGGAAGTTTGGACTCTTTGCACGAAGTTCATAATTTTTCGCAGTCCTCCCCATCACCGTCGCAGCAGCAGCGAAGCGTTCCCGGCGATGGCTCGGATGATGGTTAGTATCACATTTTTTTGTAATTCCATGTAATGTCGTGTTCTGAGTCTTCTCATATGTACTAAATACCGAAGCAAATTTTTCGTGCTATTGATATATTTCCAGAATTATATATATTGCGATAAAGTAAAAGTGTATCTGTGTGAAGCAATGTATGAACACACGACAATGTTTCTTTTGAATTGAACTCGACAGGAATATTCAGATAATTAGCGAATATCATATAAAAGCTAATAATCGAAATTTGA